TCTTGCAAGGGCTGCTGAAGTTACGGCTACCAGTTGGTGTTTTCGACGAATCAATCCTCTCCGCAAGTCTGGGCCACGTGTAGTCAGAAAGCTGCGTTGCCTTAGGCCCATAAGCCTAACGGCAGATATGGCCGCTGTGCAGGATGCCTTATGGCTAGCGAGATGTAAGCGGCAATTGGATGCTTTTACAAACCTGAGACAGCTGGGTGGCAAAATGGACACCATCTTGGTCATCCTAGCGGTAATTCTTCACGTGCAGATCAGGCATTACCAGGGCGTTGACACCTACTTGCTTTTCTCTGACATTCAACAGGCTTTTGACACCGCAAGTCATGATGGCATGCTTTTTTCAGTGTATCTGGCAGGGGTGGTTGAGGTGGAGTGGCGTCTGCTGAGCGATTTTCTTGCAATGGACACCGCGAATATCATGCTGGCAGGACTCTTGTCTCAGGTCTTGACGCTTCGGGCGGGCATCCCGCAGGGTCGGAAATTCAGCGTCCAGGTCTTTACGGCTCTGCTTAAGCATTTTGGAGAGGTTTTGCTCACCGAGTGCTCCCCGTCGCAGTCCTTGCTACCGGATTTTGCTGCCGATGCCATTTCAGGGTTGTGGGCGGCATTGTCCCCTGCACCAAATGATACCTTGTTGAGTGGGTTGGGTGAGCAGCCAAGCTTGCAGCAAGTAGCTGCGGCTGTCGCTCAAGCACCATCGCCGACAGAAGCGCGTAGACTTGCAATTCATTTGCTTTCAATGCAAAGTACCTGATCGTCAGCAGCGCGCACAGTGTGTAGAGATGTTAGGGTCCCTTGCCCTGGGCCCATTGCTGTTTGTGGATGATGTGGTGACGCCTTTCGCAACTGATCGTGATGTGAGGCATGCGGTGTTCCATGGGCTTGGAACTTACTCTCGCTTTGCCAATGCCCAGTTTAACATGGGTCCCACAAAGACGGCAGTTATGAGTTGCATGGACTCCCCTGAGACAAGCCTTGAAGGTCTTGCATGTGAGTCCTACAAACTTCTCGGGGTCACTGTTGATTCCCAATTCTCCTTTGAGAAGCGAGCAAAGCAGGTGGTCCAGATCGGGAAAGCTTTGTTTGAGGAACTCTCGTTACTTATGCGGGAACTGGGTCTGCCGCCGCCGGTGCATGCAGCGGCAGTCGTTGAGAGGGTGGAGCCAGTGGTGTTGTATGCGTCCGAGCTTTTCGCTTTGACCCCTGACGTGTTGCCAAAACTGGACACACTGCAAGGCGATTGGGCAAAGGCGATTTTAGCAGGCAAGGCTGGGTCTGCCCTGCGGGGTTCCCTTGCGGTCGCTGTCTTAGGTTGGCCTTTGAGGTTGTCTTCCAAAGCTCTCTTGAGGATCTTTTCAGTCATTGCCAAAATTCAACTGCTACCGCGTGAGCATCCGGCAGCGGTCATGTTGGCTATTGCCAAATCTCTGCCTACTGGCACCTGGTGGCATGCAGTGGAGCTGTTGAGGCACCAGTTAGCAAGTGCCACTGCAACTGGAGCCCTCCCTCACATAGAAGATGCTGGTTTGTGCCCAGCTGAGATGCTGGAACAGGCCAGGTGGGACGGTGCAATCCGAAAGAACCTCCTTAAGCTGTACAAGACCAAGACTCTGTTGCCAGTCATGAAAGCTAGGGACGATGCTGATTTTATGAAGGCTGCTTCAAAGTTCCTGGTCGGTTTGGGGTCGGATTTCTTTGCGCTGGGGTGCCAAAGAAAGCTGTGTAACTGGTCTCATCTACTCCCAGTGCTGCGCAGCTCGGAGTGGAAACTTGCAAAGGTATGGGCCTTTGCGAGGTTGACGGGAACTTGGCCCCTCAGTTTGCTGTCTGAGTCAGAGCCCCTGGAAAAGCTGGAGCGCTGCCCCTTCTGTGACCAAGGCGATGTTATGATACGGCATGCTTTGTGTGAGTGCTCAGGAACTGCGGCGCTGTTTGTGCAAACAGGGCTCGCGCTCCATGGCAGTAGAAGGGTGGACGGCGACCTGCTCTTGCAGATGTTGTTCCATTCCACCGCGGACTCTCACATTGATGCAGCTAGGATCCGTTATGTGGGTCGGGCCTTGACAGCCACCATGGATGAGTATTTGCAAAAAGCACCGGTGCGTTGCAACGACCTGCTAACATCTGTCAGAGGTATCGCGCAACCCACCCTTGCCCCCTTGCCCAGCATTCTTGTTCGGGGAAGCGGGCCAAAGCGAGATGCAAGATGCAAGATGCAAGAATAATGGGCACCCTCGAACTTATGAGCCTTTCTGCCTGCAAAAAGCAAACGTGCTGCTTCCATTGCGCTGTGCCTCCTCGTACTTCAGTGATGTGTGTATGCATATAATGTCTCTTGTTCCGGGTTTCTACTGCTGCAGCTGTTTTAGCAAAACTGTGAAGGCTTGCCTCTCAGAGAGAGGCTTGGACCCGTCGACCAAGGCTTGCCTGGGGTGGGTGCCATGGCTGGCAACCAGGCTACTCCGGAGCCGGAGCAGGGCGCCGTCCTGCA